AGATATTTTTATCAGGATGAGTTTATAGGTTCTATCGCCAATTCAAATGAAGCGCTAAATCTGAGCGAAGAACTTCAAAGTTTGTTGAGTCTAGAAGGTTTAAGGTTAACCAAGTTTGTCAGCAATGTCCCAGATTTAGCAGAGAAGTTAAATCCAGAGAACAGCAAGATTGACACTGTAAAAGAAATCAACCTAACCCACATCGCAATGCGCATATTAGGTCTAAAGTGGGATAATTAAAATGATACCTTAAATGTTAGTCGTGGCGTGAACAAAGATACAATAAAACTGATTACGCAGCGCTCCGTCTTTAGATGCGTCTCGACGGTTTTCGATTCGATTGGTTTAGTCGCACCGTACACTGGTCGTGCCTGGCTTTTACTGAAGGATGTCTGGTGTCTTTCGCGCCAGCAGTGGTATGAGTCATTGTCAGGTGAATTTCAAGAAAAGTTCATAGAGTGGCATACTAGTTTACCAAATACTTGGACGACTAAAAATATCTCGCTGTTTCTTCGACACCCCGGTTGACCCAATAGAACTGCATATGTTTGGTGACAGCTACCAGGACGTCTTTCGCTCGGTTACTTTCTTGCACGGTCGCGCCGTCGTCACAAACGAAGCCAAGATTGCTTTTGCTTGTCTTTGTCCTTAATCGGGTATCCAAAGTTCTCGAATGCATCACAGTTGATGAATGGTTCCATGTACCCAGTGGCGACATTCTAGCATGAATCGGCTCTCGTGGAATAACTGTAGAGGCTCTGAAAGAAAGCGGTTGGGTGAAAGGTCGACACTTTTTCAAACTAAGGCTTGGCCTTACAAACCTGACTCAGAAGGTTTCATCAGCATTCGACTAAAAAGACTTTCCTATGATTTGAATGAAGGTATTGAACAAGCTGCAAATTTCACTTGCACATCCAAACCCTCCGATCAAGTTTTTTTGGGAAAAATTTTAGTTCTTTTCCGAAACTCCAAATAAATTGCTTTATTTATGCTGAGGTTATCACCTCATCACCATTCAAATTTGCTACACTCGCTCGATAACCAATCCAACCGACTTAAAATTAGCTAAGCAAAAACTGTTAGTTCTATCTCAGTCAGAGTTGTTACCCGTCGAAGTCAACGCACTTCACAAAAAACAGTCCCATAAAAAGTCTAGCCGAATAGATTTTTTGGCGTTCATCGGTCCCGGTGGTCTAGTCCGTTCCACTGGCCGTCTTCGACGACTCGCCACCGTTGAATTTAGCGTTAAGCATCCCATCAATTTAGTTAGCCGACATCTCCTCGTGATGATGCTTGTAACATTTATTCATCCAAAAAATATCTCCAAAGTTTTCATTATCTGCGTGCTGTTATAAAATACAGTACGTTGTATTGCGGCTCCGTACTGCCCTCCGTTCAATAGAACACCTCTGCGTGTTATACCGAAAACGAAAAGCTAAGGTAATTACGGGAAGGATGGCTGATCTTCCGCTCGAGCGACTGGGTTACCGACAACCGCCGTTCGAGAACTGCGGAGTAGGTTACTTCGGCCCATTCCACGTAACGATTCGACGAAGCACAGAGAAACGCTGGGGCTTCTTGTTTTTTATTCACCGTTATGATGACTGGTTCATCTAGAGGTTGTTCCGTCAATGAATACAAATTCCTGTATAATGGGAATAGAACGCTTCATTGCTCGGCGGGGAACGCCTTCCGTCATCTGGTCGGACAAAGGTACGATTTTCGTTGGCCCAGCTAAAGAATTGATTTCGTGCTTCGAGAACTGAAGCGCCATGCACCCATTCTGCTCGCTCATAAAGGGCTAGCCTGGAAATTCATTTCTGGGAACACAAAAATTCAATGACGAAGTCCTCATAACCTCGTTTTGTTTAGTTGGGCAGTCCGTAAAAAACCGTCCGCTCACACTCGTATCCTCCGATCCGATCGATCTCGAAGCGTTTACAGCGCAAGTAGCTTTCCGTCACTAGTTTTCGAAAAGAACTTCAACCATCAAAAGCTCTACGCTTGAGCACAATCCTATGCAAATGCCATCTGGACTAGTTCACTATAGGGGTGGCAAATCGTTACTGGGTACCAAAGGGGGAAATAGTTATAAAGAAATCCGTATTTTTGACCAACGTTGATTTTGAAAAATCTTTGATAGAACCGCTACATTTTTCACAGAAATTCGATGTTTCTGCCCGGCTTGAATTAACTGTTAAGCTCAAAGCAATTTTTGATGAAGCGGCGAAACTTTTACCAAACTGTGTCAGCTTTTTTGTCAAAACTGTTTCAAGCATTACGCATAAGCACCAAGCCCACCAGCTTACATTTTGAGGATCTCTTTAACCATATCCCTCCCCTACGAGTACCTAATAACGAATATCCCCCTCCCCTATAAGGAGTTAAATCAACGGTTAAGCCTATCAAAGTTTTATACCTAGCAACAAATCCCCCCTGGGCCTTTTTTCCTTTTCCCACCCCACCTCACATATACACCAATTTTATGTTGTAACGAGGAGGTTTACAAGGTTAAGTATGGAGACCAAATATGTTTGTCATAGCCTAATTAGTCCGCATACCAATTTTTGTAACAATCCGATCATGTGAACCAAATTTTACTAATAAAATTTCGCTGGTGGGGGGGAAAGGGAAAAGAGCCCCCCCCTTTGCCATAGAGGCGATTTAGTTAAAGGGATCCCGTTTTTAGCAATTTATAGCCTTCCCTTAACATAAAATCCTTGTGCTCGGGTTATATTTTTTCGCTCTTTTCCAGCCCCCCCCTTAGATTTTTTGTGAAACTCAATATACAAAAGTCGGCTCTTTTCCAGTTTCCCCCCTTTCAAATTACCGAGTTTTATGTTTGTTTTACGTGTTATTACGGCTACATGCGTGATGTTACGCTGTTACCTATGAAGAACAAATGGCTGTTCATATTTAAAAAATGCATCGTAACGTGTCAGGGCTCTTTTCCAGTTCCCCCCCCCTTTCAAATTTAATTTTGAAAAGTCTATTTAACGTTGTCACAATGCAATGCAATTTGGCGAGGTGAAACAATCGACAATTCTGAACAGATTTGTTCTTCATACTTTACAGCGTAAAATCACGCATTTAGCCGTAATAACACGTAAAACAAACATAAATCTCGGTATTTTGAAAGGGGGGAACTGGAAAAGAGCCCGTGTCAGCGTGAACAGGTGAACAAATTTTTACGACATTTCTTACATGTAAAATGCCATGTGAACAATTTTCGAACAGCCGCATCATGAAACTTTACGATCGTGGGGCTTGGGAAACTGGAAAAGAGCCTGTTTTTTGTACTAGAATGATGAGTTATAATGGGAAAACAATTACAACAGTGTTTTTTACGAAAAGGAATACATTTTGTGGGGAACTTTTATTGGACAGAACCGTCTCAGGGAGAGAGTGAATAAACCAGGCGAAAATAAAAACCAACCGAAAATGCACGGAGTACATTTGAACCAGCCGAAAAGTCACATAATATGTATGAGTTTGCATAATTTTCGGTACTGTTACATAATCGGGCTCTTTTTCCTTGTCCCCCCCCCCCCACCTCTTACGAGCTTCAATTGTTTAGTGGAACGACTGCTTTTATGAGGTTGATTATGAAGACCATGTATGTTTGTCGTGGCCTGATTAGTCTGTATCTAAATTTTCAAGTTAATCGGACAACATGGTCAACAAATTTACTTGTAAAAAAATTGCAGGCAGGGGGGAAAAGGAAAAAGAGCCCATAATCGTTACATAACAGGGCTCTTTTCCAGTTTCCCACCCCCTTGTAAAAATACAAAAAAAGGTAGTTTTGCATCTTATAAATGTTGAAAGAATTTGTTCACCTGTTCACGCTGACACTTTTTAATGCTGATGCACAATTTATAACATATGAAAAGTCATTGTAAATAGATATTGAATTTTAGTAAATATCAAGGGGGAAAACTGAAAAAGAGCCAATAACAATTATATTAGGCTCAAAAACCTGCAAACGGCATAAATGCGTGTGCGTAAAAGACGTTACCGAGGATTGTTGGCATGGTCTTTCTTGCCTCAAAAGTGCAGGGAGATTCTGTAGGCATTCAAACCTGAATGCCCTTATAAAGCAGAGTTTATCCTCTACTCTTATTCCGTCTGTTTTAGAACCACGACACCTCTACAGGGCCGATCAGAAGCGACCAGACGGTTTGACGCTAGTTCTATGGGCTGTTGGTAAGCAGCTCTTGTGGGATGTAACGGTAGTAGACTCCTTAGCTCCTTGTAGGATTAATGCCGGGTCTGTTTGTAACCCTGGTACGGCTGCCGCTGAAGCGGAAGAGCGAAAAATGGAGAAGTATAAAGATCTTGTAAATGATGGATATCTTTTTCAACCGCTAGCTTTTGAAATTCAGGGCCGGCCGGCCCCAGCACAGAAATTGTTTTGAGCAAGCTTTGTAAGAACCTAAGCATATGCACTGAGGAACCCAGAGCAGGCAGCTTTTTAAAACAGAGAATCTCCCTGGCAATACAGATTGCGAACGCCGCTTGCGTACTCGGAACAATAAATGACAAAATAAAGTTCGACGAAATTTTTAATTTTTAACACTTGTTTATTATATTTTCTCGTGTCGAGTTGCGTGTTCTTATTGAAGAAACGTAATATGTATCGACTTTAATCGAAAAGGACTTAAACACTTGTCATCTTCTTTTATCATTATCACTTCCATATCTAGAAAATTCCAAGGATTTTGACTGGAATACGTGATGAAGGGACTCCTGACAGTAACCTCGGTTACTATGATACTTTTGACCTTCTGATTACCAAAAAAATAATAAGAACAATTATATAACATATAAGTATTTTCGGCTGGTTGATACTTCGGCTGGCTTATACTTCGGTTGGTTTATGTACCACCATCAGGGATTTTAAAAAAATAAATCCAAAACTTGCCCTTAAAACTCGAACTTTCGGAGGAACGATAAAAGCTTGACTGCAGGGACTGTAGTTTATCATCTTGGAGTACATAAAATTATTCTCTCTCGCTCATCATCCTCTCGATGTCCTTCACCATATCCACCGGTGGGTTGCTCAGTCCGAACCTCATGCGGGGCACACCCTTCTTGTCCACTAGGTACTTGGTGAAGTTCCACTTGCAGTTGCCCAGGTGTCTACCCAGAAAGGAGAAGAGAGGGTGTTGGCCACAGCAGCTCACCTTGACTTTTGCGAATATGTCATAGGTGACGTTGAAGCTCTTGATGTAGTCTTTGATTTGTTGGTTGCTTTTGAAAACAGTCTTTTCTTAATATATCGATTCAATTTAATAGAAAGGTAATTGCTCAAATCTTCCATAATTGCATTAACTTGAAACGATTTCTTGTCAAATCTGTCCAAAAAGTGCCTAAAAGGCCTTTTGTGGCCTGTTTTTCCAAAAATTTGGAAGCGGCGCAAAAAAAGTTAGTCAAAACAATTTCCTTTTAGAAAATTTTTTGAAAACATCACATTCGAGAAAATCCTAGATCCGACCCTGTGTGTGAGTGGAGGGGGTTTGGTAGAGGAGAAGGAAAAAAGAGCCAAGAAAAAGAGCCGAGTCTTACATTTTTGGGATTTACTTAATTCGACCAATCAGAATGCAGCAAAATTCGCATTATAAATAGAATGCTCTAGTGCTAAAATCAACTGCTTTTTTGTTTAGTAGATACCATAGGGGGGATTCTTAAGTAGACCCCAATTTTGGACCCTAAAATTTTGCTAGAGTAATAAAATAGAAAGATCCTCAAATTTGATAAGAGGTTAGTTGGAGAGTTGAAAGAAGCAATTCAAAAAGAGCCTTCCTTTTGGGTTCCTGCATGAATTGGGCGGAGGGAAATGCGAGGATGCGGAGGCCTCTCTCTTGGTACCTCTCGTAAATTTCCTGCAGCTGCACGAAATTCTGAATAGACTTTCCTCACTTGGAGGCGGTGTTGAGGACCACGCAGACGTATCCCGAATACTCTTTGAGAGACACTTCGTTTCCGTCTATATCTATTGCCCTGAACTGGTGGATTGTTTCATACTCATTTGGATTTGCGATGGGACCAATATCTTTAACCATTTTCCACACACTATCTGGATGAAAATATATTTAATGTTGCTTTCCATCTCAAAACATTATTTGTTAAATTTCGTCACCGGGAAATATCGGAAGAAGAGGGAAAACATCATTCAAGATTTGGAACTGCAATTTTATATTAAATTAGGGCTATTATCCACTCCCCCACACAAATTTGAATTTCAAGTTTTAACAAGACTGCTCGTATCAGGGCGAAGCCCTGAAAGTTTCGACGGCTCTTTTTCCTTCCCCCCCCCCACCTGCAAATTTTTACATGTAACTTTGTTGACCACATTGTCCGATTGTAATGAAAATTTACATACGAACTAATAAGGCCACGACAAACATATTCGGTCTTCATACTCAACCTCGTAAAACCACTGGTTACACTAATATATTGAAGCTTGTGTGAGGTGGGGGGAAAGGAAAAAGAGCCGTTTCGACTGCCTTCTAACGTTCATGGAGCAGTTATAACATAAACAACGTAAAAAAATAAAATAAAATAAAATGAAAAAAAAAATTTTTCCTAAAACTTGAAAATTTTTCTTTGAAAATCATCCCCCCCACACTAAAGTACAAAAAGACAAATTTCGTTCCTTGTAACAAATCAATTATGGCGAATAAGCTTCGTTCAACCAATTTGGAACGATTTATAAGATGGACTAAATCTCGCTTACGCGTTAATTGCGCGAATTATATTACGCGTTAATTGTCCCAAATTGGTCAAAATGGCCAAAATGGCAATTTTTAAACCCTCCTAACTTAACAAAAAATGCTCACAGGTGAAATATCTTTTCAAATTTAAGCTCAGGACAAGCATACCTTTTGAATTATTCAAAAAAATTCCGTCAAAAATGGCTAGTTAAAAAGTCGAAATTTGTCTGAAGAAAAAACCCACCCCGAGCACAAATATTCCGTTACTTTCGTATCGAAAGTCGGAACAATAACTCTTCTAACGTTGTCATTATGCAATGAAATTTGGTATGGTGAACAAACTGACAACTGTAAAAACAGTTTTCTTCATAGTTTACATCGTAATAAAGCGCATTTAGCCCTTATAGTAAGTAACACGATTTAAAAAATGGGAGGGGGGATGGGGGAGGAGGAGGAAGAGGAGGGGTGACATTCATGTTTTAAGATAGGCTATAGAGTATCGGGTCATCCGCCTATGTAATAAAATAGGGAATAAACTTACCAATGCGTTAAGATAGGTTATAGGTTTCAGGGTTTCGGATGGTAAGAGGGTAAATTTCCAAAAAAACAAATTTGGTTTTCAAAAATTTTCAGCGCTAGATTTTGCCGATACAGTAAATTGTATCTGTTAACTGCATTGTATGGAAATTTACTACATATTTTTCTACAAATTTAGGGGTTAAAGAATTATTCCAACACATCCAATTACCTGTTTAGGGGAAAAGTGGCTCAGTCCTTTTTTAGTTTGTTCATAAGTTGAGACCAACGCTTAATCTGCTTAAATCATCTATTAATTGGTTTCAAACTTACCACCACTTCCAATACTTGTCGATACAATGCCATCGAATCATCTCTAGAGTCGTCTAAAGTGCGTTTTTTCAAATATTTACTGCATTCTATTTTGGTGCAGATGAATTCTCCTTGACCAATTCTTGCTATCTTTTAAAAAGTTTTTTGTGTTTGAAGCAGCAGGTGCATCGAAAAAAACCTTGTTCTCGATTCTGCTCTGAAATTGTCTCGACAGTCTTTGGTTCGTTATTCAGCTCATTGTGCTCGCTTGCTGAGAAGATGCATTCTTACATATCTTTTTCTGCCAAAACCAAATACAGTGAATCTGTGTTCATTTCGAAGTTTTCAAATTTGCTAACGTCGCAAAATTTAAATAAAAAATTATAATAACGCTTGGTGTACATTAAAATGAAAAATTCTACTATAAATGGTCCATAAGGTTCTATAGTAGATTCAACAGGCTAAACTTTAAACAAGTCTTCAGCTACCTTATTTAGTGTCAAAAAGAACTGTTTGATGATAGCTTCTTCGTCACTAAGATACTTTTTACATTGTATGCATCGATCTGTCGAGTATTTGATAGCCGTAAAAACTGTTTTCATTGTTTCGGCTACCACTCCAGATAACGGATTCTTATCACCGGCTCATCTAGCATCAACAACAGACTGAAAAAAACTGGTGAAGACTTTACGCGGTATGTTTTGTACAAAACGATATACTTGTACATGATGCAAGGAAAAATTGAAGAGTTGTGTTTTAGTTTTACGTTTGTGAAATTGAAGCTCGATATAAACATTCGCTGCGGTTGTTTTAACAAAGTTTTCTTATCTCTTCTTAAATTTCCCAACATCTTTTCTGGTAACATGGAAAGTTTTAAAAATTGGTAGAAAATAGAAATTCTTAGCTTTTATTTCACCTAGAAATTTGAATTTTGCGCGTAGTCAAACTGGTTTTCGTCCCTAATGTTTTGCAATAGTGAATTAAAACAAAAACCTAATAGTGAAAGTTATTTCCAACGTAATTTTTCACTTCTGCGTTGTTTTTAGGTTGATCCCACCAACAACAACCCCACTTCTCTTCTATGGAGTAATATTTTTCTCGAATGTAATTTTTTCGAAGCTCTTCCAGTTTTCTTATCCTCGTTCATTGTTTGATATCATCATCAGTAATTCTAGGTTTAGCTTCTTGACGAAGACAGAAATAAAAATAAAAGCCCATTGCCTCAAAAACAGTTTTACAGGGTTTGCAATAACCATCAACACTTGGGCAATCAAATTTTTTTCTGAGTTCCTGTCATTTCAAAGGTTTCAATTATGCATTGTGGTCTGGTTGTTAAAAAATGACATGACTATAAATTCAAATTTTCGAACTCGATTTTGCTTTGACTTGATCTTTTGTGTTTCTCCATTGTAATCCCATCTTGTATACAAACCAATGGGCAAATCTTGACTCATCTAATCAGAATAAAGTCGTCTCGCACCAATCCCCACGATTGATTTACTTAAGTTGATGGTTTTTGGATAAGTTTCGTTTGCTGCTGCCTTTCGGTTGTGTGTTTGTGGTTGTGAAAACAATTATCAACTTAACAACATCGCAACCCAGCTTGAGCTTGGCGTGCATCTGAAAAATTTATAGTAACAGTATATGCAAATAGTAGTCTTAAGCACAATCGGATAGATCATTGAGTTTTCATTCTTTGACCATTTCAATCATTGTTTCTTGTGTTCTGCACTTTCAAGAGACAGCAGGTCTAGCTTCCGCAGTCTTTCTCTCTGTTCTGGCAATCCAGTGACCAATCAAATTTCCCTCCCTTGAAGGTTTTTCAATAATTTTAGATAATTTTTGTTTCGCGGATACCACGATTGATTACAAAATTCAAGATGTGGCTGTATGAGACCCGGTAGTCATATACAGCCACGGTAGTCATTTTGTTAGATATGGTAGTCATATGGTTGAAAGTTTTCTTGAAAAGTGCTTAGGTTGGCTTTGCTGTTTCAATTTGATGGGCTTAGATTTTAGTTCAAAAAAACTTTGGCCGAAATGTCAACCATGTCAATCGAAAACAATGCTATTTTTGCTATTTTTTATTCAAAATCTGATGTTTTTACGTGGAAAAAGATCCATATTGTGGCAGCCAGTTCTCATGCGCTTAGCCTGAAAGACTTCAACGTAGAGGAAAAGAGGGAGTATTCGGGGCACATCGCAGCTATACCGGGCCTAGCATTGAACCCCGACTAAGTCCACGGGGACAAAAATCTGTTGAACTTGCTCGGCAGAAGCCTACTGCGGGGAGAAGATAATATAGTGTTGTGGCACGACGTTATCAATAACTCTCTGAAATGCCACAGAACAAGCAACTTTTCCTCTAGCCCAATCGAAGGTGTCATCGGGTATCTATCAGACAGAAAGGATCATGTTCGATACATCAGTTACTGTTGAAGGTAAGATGACCCGAGCGTGTAGGAGGAAATGATAAGGACGGGCATTCTGACAATCTCGACAGTAAGTTTACATGTCTTCAAACTAAAGCAGAAGTGTCAACACGAGATCATCGAAGTGTACAGCGAGCTCCACCAACAACGCGAACTCGAAATAAAGTCTTTGAGCTTGGTGTGGAAGCTCAAGGAGCGATTGTATAAGCTGATTTCCAAAAGAAGATACAGAAAGAAAAGACATTCGCAGACCCGTTGCAGGGAAGAGACAAAGCGGTTAGCTCATGATAGGCATCAGAAAGACAACAAGCCGAATCCACAGTGAGCTTAGTTGCAGTTAGCGCCTTGTGAGTGTTTGCTTTTCGTGGCCAGCTGTGCAATGAACCTAATGAAATTACTACCCACGTTCCTTAGATTTATTCTCAAAAAAGAAATTTTGTGGAATTTGTTTTTCAATATGTAAAGTAGTTGAATAAATTTAACATTAGCCAATGTCGCCTTAATTTTATCTTAATTTTATCGATATAATACCTAATTTTTTTCGGCTTAGTGTACCTGAGAAAGGAGTGTTTTCTGACCAAGCGACTCTCAACTTTCAGTTGAAAATGCTTAGGACATAAATGAGTAGGGCAAAAGAGGATAGTGGTTTCATAGCGATGACGTGGGTAAGCAAAGGGACAGAATTAGGAGAATTGATGAAAGGTTATGGCCATTGGTCATAAACAATGTTCTGCGTCAAGCAAGGGACAACTCGTTAGCCACGCGCCTCAGTCAATCTAAGAAAATTGTGAAGTTAGCTGATAGACAAGACAGGCTAAGTAAAATTACACAGAAAAGCGGCAAAGGTACTAGATGAGATAAAAGTGCCGGGATGGATCACCTTTATGCACGACTTTATGAATAGGCTAAAGTATATAAGAAGGATACACCAGTACGACCTGTCCTCTCTCTATTCGGCAGTTTTTTTGAGAACTTAAATGAATTATTAGCAAAAAATTTTAAAGAAATCTTGGTTGCAAATATTGATTCCAGCACGGAAGAGGCTAGGGATATGATAGAGAATACAAAATAGACTCAGATGAGACTAAC